TTTCAATGGCAAATCGAAGGATGTCAGTTTTTGAAGTGTTCTAAAACATAAAATTCCATATTCCTCATATGTCAGCAAACTAATTGCAGTACATTTCATGTGCTAATGCAGTAACAATGCACCTTCAGGGATGGATTAAATCTAGTTTTATCTAACTGTTCCAACAGAACAACAGTGCCAAACCTGTGTTGGTTTAAAGTCAAAGATAAAAGGGGGTTGAACTTTGAAGAATCTCTCTGCATGCAATGAACACAACTGCAAACAGAGGAATGTAATTACTGCCTGTGTCTGAGCAAGATGCTGACCTTTACTTAAACCTTACAAGAGCACTGAACAACCCAAGTCCAGAAGGAAAACTAGCAAACACCAATAAAAGATTGAATAAATAAATTATTTTCCTGCCTGCCCCTCTCTTTTGCTAAATGACTTCTCTTGCTTTGCTCAACCACTTCCTTTCAGTGGTGCATATGAACAAAGAGCTCCTCCTCACGGTGTAAATGCTGCCAGGGCTGAACTTCCCACTACAATCACACGACGATGCCTGAACTCATGTTTAGTAGCAGTAGCCTCAAATAGGAGACATCAGTATTTCTCTTACCCCCAGGAATGGATATAGTAGAATGGTCAATCCATTTTCTGCACAAATCACTTACAAACAATCAACATCTGCTGCCATCCCATGCAAAACATTTCACTGATATTTGATGACAAAATCAAACTAATCCAGGCACCCATGACAGAAATCCTTAAGTAGTTCCCTTGCTACAAACTCAGCTTATCAACTGCTATGGTCTTCATCACCCGAGCAAGATAACTCTTGCTGATATGCTAGAGAAATTAATGCCCCTCTTGTAATCATGATAAAAAACTCTAGTGAAATAATACTGGTGATGCCATGCTAAGCATGTTCCTCAAACTGAATATCAGTGAGATAATGGGAGGTTTAGCTGAGAGCTGGAGGGCCTTTAAGGACATTATTAGGACAGCTTGCATAAAGGGACTTGCTCAGCCTGTGTAAGAGAGGAACACTTAGGGCAGAGCAGGAACCTGTTAGACATATCATCAATCGTCAATATCATCAAAAGCTCATCAATCTAAGATGAGCTTTTACTGATCATTGCAAGCACAGATCTTTCATACTTCTACAAATAAATCTCCTCAATAAAACAATGATGCAGTATAAAAATTTTAAAAAGTATTTTACATCCTCATTCAAGTTTAATGATTTACTATATGCACAAGCCTAGTATGTCTACCTGAAACTGAAACTGCGATATCATTAGCAAGTCAGAGAAAGAATGAAAAGAAAAAAGTCCAGTTCTAACACAAAACATACTGTGGTATATTTGCAATTCAGCAGCACATTTCATTTTTGCTACTTATTTTGTTTTCAAACAAACAAACAAAATAGAGACTTGTTTGGTAAGAAACAAAAAGTGAAGAAAAAGTATTCAGTGACAGGTCAATGCAGTGTGAGTGCCCCAGAGTTTCTCAGTCACCTAAGAAACTGTCTATTCTCTCTGATAAGAAAAGCAATTGTGAAAAGTCTGCTTATGGCAGTGATGCAAAGAACAAAATTTGGAGCTGATCTGTTTTTTGTGCTCAGGTGCTGTCAGCCAGGTACGCTGCAATGTCCAGGGACAGACATCCTGCAGCCATTTGTTACAGTAAACAATGCTTACTGTCACACAAATTCTGCTGTCTACACAGTTACACTGCTGGCTATAAAGCTTAACATAAAATTCCCAGGCCACATTTCCACTAACAACAGCTGGTTCAGGAGAAATAAATGTAAGAACTGTGGCTGGCATTGAATTTAAAGGATGGCCTCATTTATTGAGTTTAGGCTGTTACTAAGGAAGTAAACTTGAGCTGGGAAGTCTACAGCCCGTGTAATTCGGGTGCCCACTAGTAAGTGACCAAACCTTGAAGTTTCTGGGAAGCAGAAGAAAATCTGTCTTGTGGTATCAGGCACACAGCTGGGCCACAGGAAGCTTCAGAATTATATTTTACTTATTTTTATATCAGAAGCAACTTGTGTGCACCCTTCCACACCACTGAAGTTCATTCATTTATATTTCAAAATTGAAATTTCTTTTATATCAATATTGCCCAGTTAACATTTTATCTTGCATTGTAAGGTGTGTGTTTAGAGTTTGACCACCTCCTCGTTGTCCTGCTAAGAGCTACGTGGAGATCTCTATCTCTCTTTAATGTGAAAAATGGCCCAAAGTGACCTCACTCAGAGTAAGATACAGGGATTCCGGCAAGACAGGCTAAGTCTACGCATCACTAGTGAAAACCTTTCACTTGCAACATTGCAAAGTCTGAAGACATGAAATATCATGATTCTGTCAGCAAGCTCACAGCGATAATTTATTTTCATTTTCTATTGTGCAGATATTTCAGTTGCCCACATTTCTATTTCCAGCCTGTGCATAGTGCTGTCATGAAACTCATTTTCACAAGATGCTCTTCCCAGCACTTCATAGCACCCACTTTTTCTCTAACTGGACACAAAATGTTGCTTGGGGTTCATTTGCTAAGACGCAGGACAACTGACTGTGATGCACTTTAATATAGAACAAAGAGGATATTGGAAAAGATTCATTTGAAAAGCAGTTGCCAACAAACAGGAGGACTCTGTTAATGTTCCTCTGCTTAAAAACCCAGTCATGAGTTTAGGCTTGTGCAACCTGCCAAATTCATAGCTCAATGATCAAAGAACTTCTATAATATATTTTGCTGTCAGCATTAACATTTCAGGAAAACAGAATGCAAAAGCTACTATATTAAGATAAATGACATGCTTTTTCCTTCTGATTTTAAATTCTGATTCAGGAACAGAATTCAGAATTCTTTACTTGGGATACATTTAAAAGTTTCTTCAGTCCAACTGAAGCAGGATTTAAGAAATACAAACAGACCAGCCTGAACTAAAGTTCTGCTTTGAATTTGATACTCAGTTGTGTACAGAAATGCACAGACTCTTTTGTGATACTTGATACTGAAGGGGGGTGAATTTGTTTAACCTATTTAATCCTCTTGAAAATTTTCATCAGAACTTTCCAAGTGACAAGCAGGTAAGAGCTAGAAGATAACAATAACCTTTGGGTTTTTGTGGGTATTGTGGGTTCTTTTCTTTCATTTCATGTTCAGTTTATTCCTGTGTCGCATTTCTGCATTCATTTATGAAGTAAAAATAGTTATGCTAAAATAAGCTAGAGACATACCAAGAGCACTTTTCTTTCCCCATTTAGTGCAACCTAATGGAGAAGGCCCAAGTAAATGGATAAAAACTATACATGCATTGGGGAGGGTGGAAATCCAACAGCATTTCTGTGTCCTGCTTCTCCATACCCTGGTCAGTCTGGCAGGGGTTTATTGATTCTGCCTGTATCTTCAAAAAAAGGTATGCAAGAAAATACTTCCCTGGACCAACTGTATCTGCATCATAAGGAATGAAGAAAACATCCCCAAAACCCAGCCAGCACTGTACACCTTCTCAGCTGTTATCCCAGCATAGAAGAACACCCAGGCATGGGCTGTGATGCACCTCCTTTCACCTCCTGGGAAGCTGCAGACATCCCACTGAGTGACTGCTTACACCTCCTAAAGGCTTTTAGATGCTGGGGAATAAATACAGCACCTATTGCCTCACTGATGGCTAAGAAACCATATGTTTGGAAAAGAAAAGTGTCCTTACATCTCCATTCTTAACTCTTTCTTTTAAAGTTCATTATTTCACCTCTTTTGCACCCTATTATAAATGAAGACAGCTAAACATCATACAAGAGAGCTAGGCAGGCATGAAGTGTTTGAACTCTGAAACAGAACCAAGTCACCTTACCTATCCTGGTTCAGGTACTTTTGCCCTTGGAGGGTAGTAGAATCCATAGTTCTGATTTCCATCATGCTGAGCCACTCCCCACCCAGTAACTCCAGGAAGAGGTAGCTCTATAGCTACCTCTTTTTATTTATTTTTTTCTTGTTTTCATAACCTTTTTCTAGACAAACTTCTTCAGAAGTTGCCCCTGCAGCACCCAGACATCAAGGATCATATGACATTTGTAAAGCAAAAACCAAGAGAAGTTAAAGTACATGAGATATTATTTTCCTTACAATACTGTGCTGGAAGTGACAACTGCTTTATGAAAGAAAACGTAGAAGTTAAATTTTAAAAGTAGTCTTTGTAAGACTACTTTTTATTCAAGCAAATAATACAGCATAGGGGAGAGGTCATACAATCCTTCTGACCTTGTACCAAGTATCTCTTTAATAGACCACATTGAAATAATTCTGTCCTGAATGTTTTTCTTCACATAATTCCTGATGTTACACTGTTATCTTGCTATCATTTTTTCCTTTTCTTACCTATTTAACTGCTGCTTTACTTATCATTTTTTTTATCAAAGTAATACAAAATGTCTTGTTTTATGTCTACTCCTCATTTACTATGACTTCAAACTCTCTAGCTCAGTACTAGAAATAATCCAGCTGTGGCAGAGTATAATAAAGGCTATAAAGCCCACACAAGAGGCAGTAAATACCTAGCTGTTAGCCTGCCTTGAATTCTACGCTGCTTTACTTAAACTGCCACCAGAATTTGAGCAAGTTTAACTGCAGTGACTGCAGTGTAGATCTCATTTGTATTGGCTGGATTTTATGTTCAAATTCTTTGCTAATGCTATTTTCTGCTTTGTTTACACAGCAGTTTTATCATTCCATTTGTCTGCATTACCATCATTATTGGCATATTGATATGTATACAGCAGCAGTGCTTCGGCATTGGAAGTGGTGATATTCTGAAAAATGACTACTTATTTTTGTCAGTGACCAATCACAATGAAAGATTTCTATTTCCCAATAATCATTTGTTATACTCAGTCATGCAGGCCAGGTAAATTAATTTGAGTATCCTCTTAAAAATCCTAAATGAAAATTGGAGTAACACTGTTATTCATTAAGACACAGTTAAGATCATAAGCCGCATTTCTTACCTATGGATATGGTCCAAACTGCAGCAATTTTCATAATAGCCTTGGTGCGGGAATTGAAGCGGCTGTGCTCAATGGGATTGCGTATTGCTACATACCGATCAAGAGAGATGGCACAGAGATGCATAATAGATGCAGTTGAAAAGAGCACATCTAGGGAAATCCATATAGGGCACAACTGTTTAGGCAAAGGCCAAGCATAATCTGAAACATAGAGAGAAAAGAAATGAAAGGAAAAAAAGAAAAGGAAATAATTTGGGAAGCTAGGCCATCATTTCTGAGAAACTCTTGGATATTTTAACTCTACCAGTAAGAATACTAATAGCAGTAAGGAGCACATGCATGAGTAGTGGACAAGGAAATCTCTCTTGGGGCCTCTTCCGGGACAGCCCCTGGTTCTGGACACTCCGTAAACACGTAGTGAGTTCTCAAACATCTGTTTTCTATGACTCAACCTACCAGTAGCTAACCATGAAGGAACATTAATTTGGCAATGCCTCCCGGTCACTGTTCTTGCCACAGTCCTCTTCTTGAACTTTCCCACAAATTTTTACAAAATCAAATATTCCTTTCAATTATAATAGGTCAATCATAGGTTTTCAATGGATTACATAGTGCTGTGTGGTATTAATTTTACTCAGATCTATTCTTCTTCATAATTTCTGTCTTCTGAGAAGAAAGGTATCAGGAATTTTTTTCTACAGACTGTCCACCAACTCGCTAATTTACACTATTTCACCTTAAACATTCTACCTAGATGACATGTCTTAATAACAGAATAATACTTGCCTCCTCGCAATCCTCTCTATTGATCGGCTGAAGTTTAAAAATTGCTTTGAAGGTAGACAGAACTGAGCAGTACTATTTACAGAAATAAGCATCCCAACAAAGTGAATGGACTAGATAGCCACATCTGTCAGCATCTGGCAGGCAGCTGGTCTGGGTGTCTGCATTTATTAGTCAGTTTACTCAGTGCTGAAATACATCTTGAGAATAAAAATGACCCAGGAAGATCTTCTGTGGGCATCAGTATTTAAATTAAAACTCAGAGAAAACTGCTTTTTGAACGATATTCCCACGTACTAGTGTCCAGAATGGGTTGCATGAGATCAATGATGTGTCCTGCCTAGCACTGGGCTTCTAGCACACTTATCAAAACAAACCAATAGCATATGCAGCAGCTGGAAAGATGACAGACTTCATACTGGTTGCATAATGAGGTATTCTTGTGTCTTCATTTAGAACATGGATATCTAAAGCAGTCTTGAAGTCTACCCCAAGGATCAGCAACATCACTTTTTGTTATAGTAAAAATGATACAGCTCCATCTTACCAATCACAAAAAGAAAGACAGAAACATTAGTCACAGAAAGCATGTTTTGCAACAAATGACCCAGACAAAGAGAGATTCACTTTACCTTACATGTAAAAACCCAAGATCAACTGACCCAGAGGAAATTATTAAGAATTGTCCCAGTGAAGTCCAAGAATGGTTCACAAGATGCTGGGCAGAACAGGCCAGACACATTAGCTCATTTTGTCACTGGAAACACACATAAGAAGCGCTAATTAACTCACAGAAACCCATACAAGACTTTAGCTCTGGGGAGATACACCTGTTATTTCAGCAAGTCTGCACTACCGCTAGTAGAGGGACTGATAATGGACTAAAATCCAAATCTGCAAATATTTAAAAGATCCCTACCAAAGGGAGCTAAGTAAAGTGCATTGTGGCTGGAGATCTTTACTTTAAAAAGCACCTCTGCTGTACAGAACAATCAAACTTGCTTAAATTATAACTTAACCCCTTTATGAAACAATGATCAAATTCCAAGCTTCCTGTTCTCCTTTGCAGTATCTTAGGATATTGTTGCCATTAACCTGCAATTGAGTTGAGAGCTTCAGTTAAGCACGTATCTGTTTGCTGTTCTGCTTTATTTTATTTTTTTTTCCCAATCATCTTTTAATTCCAGTTGTGTTCACTGTGTTCACAGCATCCCAGGGCTGATGCTGCTGTAACACTCCAAAGCTACCCGAGGAGAGCAAATCTGATCTCCTTCAAGTGGTACAGGTGCTTCCTGTTCAGCCCCAGGCTTTTGCTGCCAGCTCCAGCTAAAACACATTCAGTGACACTTTATTACTTTCTGCTTTTCCCTCTGAGTTGCTAGAGACAGCTTGCTGATGCAGGCTGAGACGAGGTGTGAGCACAAGACCTGAAGAAAAGCCCTGGGGAATGTGCTGTGATGGATGGAGTGGTCCTGCTGAATACAGTGATGGCAGCAGCCTCTGGATGTTGATGGGGATGGCTGGGTCTCCCCATCAGGCAGACAGCCAGAAAATCTCCGGTGTCTCCAGGAGGGGCCTCCCGGCTCCCTGTGTGTGGGAGCATCTCCACTCTGATATACAGAACTGCAGAGGGTACCATCTGATTCTTGACATTTACTAGACCTGGAAGAGGTTTCTACAGCAACCACCTTCCCAGCACTACTGAATGATGAATAGCCTCTGCTACTTTTTCCTTTAAGCTCTCTGAACACTCCCCATAACTGATTCCCACTGGAACAACTTCTGCTATTGATGTGGACTAGGCAACAGCACTATAACCAAGGAATTAGCAGGAGTGAAAGCAACCGTAAATGTTCATACCCATGGTGAGAAGTTAGATGCTTCTGCTGTCAGCCCTGGCAGAGCAGGAACCACAGCCTGCCCCAGAGCTGAGTATTTTCTCACACACAGCTGCAAACAGATGAAAGTAATGTTGCCCAGAATTTCTGCCCAGGCAAGCTGTCAGAATGTGTTTAAAGATGAAGGTGATATGAGAGCCCTCCTAATGGCTAATCCTTTTAGTCTTTACTATCCCAAGGCACTCTGTTATGCTTCCAGCTGAAAAGGCAGTTATATGAGGAGATATTTTACTTTCTCAGGAAGTATCCTAAAATGATCTGTGATAATAAAATGTCACTCCGGAAATTTGTAGAATGGAAGCTTGTAATTCATGACTATACCTTGATATGAAGGGCATAATATATATTCTATCTCTAAATGTAGTTACTTTTAAGTAAGCATGGTGTGTGCATTCAAGAAACACCTACACAGCACATGAAGCCAGTAATTTGAGCAAAAAGAAAAGAAGTTAATTCTATTTCTGTTTAAATAAATGTACAAAACATAGGAAATGTACCCTGTGACTATGCCAAGGTGGAAACAAAGATTAAAAAAACACCTCTGTTAACAATGTTAGACATTTAAAACAATGTTATCCTAAGAAATACTCTATCCGCAGAAGGTAACATTTCTCTAATTAGTTCTATTTTCTCTCATTTTGTACACAAACAATAGCAATTACCATATATTTAGAAGTGCAGATGACTGAGTGCAACATATTCTTGGACTCCACACTTCTAAGTTTTAGTAAATGCATTTCCAATTGAAAGCATGCATCTCAGTCTAAATTTGCTTCTGGGGAGAATGAAACAGTGCCTAACACCTGGGCAGCCAAACCAAAATTCCTGGTAAGAAATTCTGATTTTTGCACCTTGAATTAATCTATGCTCTTGAAATCAGTCTCATACATAATGCATTAGCAGGTAAACCTTATAGGAGAGTACTGAGGAAAAATTGATGAATCCAGCAGAACAAAACAAATGGAGATATTCTTTAACTTAGGGTGTGATTAAGTTGCACATATTTTTTTGCTTCCAGATACTTTATGGATGCTAGAAGTTTACGGTGGACAAATTAATAGATAAAAGCATTAAAAAAGTAGATAAAAATCATAGATAAAAGACCATTGCCGTGCTAGTTCTTCTAGATCAGTGTTAGCTTCTGGTTCTAATCAGGATAAAAACACAAGGTATGAAATCCTACAAGGAAGTTTCTGCAGAATGGCCATGTGTATTGCTTCAGCCTCCAGTGCTGAAGAGCATGGAACCCAAGCTGCTGTGGTTCCTCATGGGAAACCTGGGACAAATGCTCATATTTAACCAGGAGTCAGGGTTCATAGGTGGGATTTCATCTCCAGCACTTCACTGGACTGAAAAAGCAAACCACAGTTCCTGTATGTCACTAAATGTTGAGATGGACTCAAAATGTTGGCAGCAAAATACAGAAACTCAAAAATATTTTGGCAAAGTTGCAGACCGTCTCTGCAGCTAATTTGCTGTCAGATGAGAGTTCCCTTAAATTTTTTGTGCTTTCCATCAAGAAAGATGGCAGCAATGAAATTTAATCACTTTTGTCAGAGATTTTATGTATATGAATAAAAAGTGTTATATAACACTGTTATGATGGTCATTGTGCTGTTCACTGCATGAGAGTCAAAATTACTAGCCACCGCAGCAGGAAGGGACTGAATAATCCAAAGCATAGCAAGTGGGAGCAGAATTAAATATGTAGAATGATAAAACAGAATTGGTCCAGATTGAAGGAGAATGGATGAACCAGAAAAAAAAAAAAAAAAAAAAAAAAAAAAAAAAAAAAAAGGGTTAGAACCTGCAGCTGAAAACATTGTGGGATTGCAAAATAGACTGAAGCTACTTTCTCCCCAAAGCCTCAAACAAAATCTCATGAGTTTTCCACAGCTTTTTGCGTTAAGGTGCAGTAGATCAAATTTTTGTGTACATAAACAAACCTCACACTAAAAATGGACTTGCCCATCAAATTTACATTTTGAAAAATTATTATTGTTTGTACACATTTACTACTTCTACGGCAGTATCTGCTCCAGGATACCTCCAGGGAATATACAGTGCAACACTCAGGACAAATCTGGTATAATACTTGGTGACAAAATACCTGTTTACATCACAATAAAGCTAAGAGTTATGTAAAATTCATCACTGTAGCTTCAGAAGTTTTTCACAGCAAACTCACACGAAGCTGCAGCAGTTGTTTCCTTTCCAACCATAAACAAGAATTTGGGAAAGGCTTCAGAGCATACTCACTGTATTTACCCAGTGCTTTAGATCTGTTGGGAGGGATAAAAGGGTAAAAAAAAAAACACCCTTCAAAATCACAGAGGAGGAGTAAGGGTATATTTTGTCTTTTAGGAACCTAATTTTATATATATATATATATATGTATGTATTTATACAGACAGGCACAGATAAGACATAAATACATACTCATATATAGGAAAACAAAAACCAAAAAACAAGAGGTGCAGAATAGAAGAACTAAAGATGTTTCTCTGTTCAGATATATCC